TTCTATTACAATTGAAACCTAAACCGAATTTAACTAATTAAATTGAACMTGCAAAATGAACAAACCAAGATATAATTTAAATGAAAATAATACCTCTTTGGCGCCTCCTTGATCACGCAGATGGTTGAATTGAGAAGAACATCTTCAAGTCTTCTAATCGCTTCTCTTGATCCTCCRGGTAAACTTGATCCAAATGATGTTGAACGGACTTGATAAATAATCCTCTAAGTCTTCGAGTTCCTGATCTTGTTCTTGGTGGATCCCTCATTGTTGTTATATCTTGACTTGCGGGACCATCTTCAAGATCCTCCGGGTAAATGTCGATGCTAGAGTCGATGTCCTCATCAATTTGCATCCTCAAGAGTTGTACAAAGAAAGTGGCATCACAATTCTGAGATATATATTAGGTTTGATTCACACGATAGTCCATAGTAACTTTGACTGAACTATGAGAAGAGATGTGACAAAAGTGATATTGTATAAACACTTTATTGTACACAGCCATTTCAGATTTCTTTATATATATCACAAAAAATTCAGCTGCTAAACAACACAAACGACACTGACTTATTGGATGGAGTAGAATAACCGGTTTGAGCATAAGGCAATTCTTGGCACTGAGTTGGAGTTGTAACCAGTTTGGCTGCAGAACAAGTTGGAAGCTTTACAAGATTCTCACTTCCTCAGATTCCAAACACAACTTTGAATCCATAATTTTTTTTTTTTTTGTATGAATGTTAAATTTTATTCAAACCAAAAAAACCTCTTTGTTACAATACCAAGTACGAGTTTTCGAAGAAAGATTGAAAGTTTTAGATAGTTTTCTCGTTATAGAGATCTATCGCGTAAAACAGGTGTTGGCAAACCAAGTAATTAGACCATCCCGGTAACGTTGATCTTGTGTTCGTCGAAGCAAGCTTAGACGATTGCGAATGTCTTTGTCCACCATTTTAACAAGTAGCCTTGCCGCCTTCGATTGGTCGCTGTGTCGTCTTGCATTTCGCTCGCGCCACAAGTGGTAGATCGTTGATTGGAAGGTGTATCGAATGATGAATTTCTGTATATAATTGAATCCTCCGCCTTGGATCATCATCCGAAGGTCATTCCATCTTGTTGTGTATCGGTTCCCTAGTAGTTTCCCTGTTAGAGC